ATCTGACTCCTTTTTTTTTTTTTACTTTTAAGTTTTTCATTTTGTATTTTCTTTTCACCCCTCTGTTTTTTTTCATTAAAGAAAATCACATTTTATATTTTAAGGTAGAAGACCAACTTCCATCGATCATGTCATCACTAAAGGTATGTTTAAATCTTTTTTTTTTTCCTAACGATTGACATAACAAGAACCATTCACATTAATAATAAAAGTGTTCCTACTCGTTAGATCACTATTTATTGAATCTTAACCAAGTCATGACATTTTTATTACTACTATAAGGTATCTTCTAAGAGAAAAGATTTTACTTGTACATAAAATAAATCATGACATGTTTTAACTGGGCACGTATAAATCGTAGTATATAGTACTCTCCCCGTCCCATAATTATTGTTCAGTTTGAATTTTCATGTTCAGTTCAAATTGTACTAAAAGTGAAATTTCAAACTGGACAATAATTTTGTGACAGAAGGAGTAATTTTTTAGGTAGTATTTTTCTTGGGTGACATTTTATATAATAATGTCTTAAACCATTACCCTGATAAATAATTACCTTATAAAAAGAAACAAAACTTCAACATATAATCGTTTTAGATTATAGTCTATTTTTCTAAAAAACAAAAAACAAAAACAAAATTATAGTCTACAAAAAAAAATAGTTTGGGTTTTTTTTTTGTTTTTACTTTAATCATACGTGGCACAATGGCACTGATTTTCATGTGCAATAATTTATTAGCTAGTTTCACATGAGTCTTAATAATAACAACAATAATGATAATAGAGTTGTAATACGACTGAGGCTAGAGCGTAGAGGGGGCTAAAGCGGTAGACCTAAATGGAGTAGAGCTGACTGAAGCTGCATTTCTTGCTGTATAATTTTTATGTTTATAAATTAGTATTAACTGTAAGAATGACGACCAAGTTGGAGTTGTAGAGATTTGGTCTTAGATTTGGTTTGGGAAGTGAAAAGATGGGGGGGGATCTCCTTAGCTTCTCTATTAGCTTGTAGCCCTTGTTTTCAATATTCTTTTTGCCTCGATATGGAAAAGGAAACAAGTATATAATGTATAAGGGGAAAAGGATATCCTTGTATTTCTTTCAATTTGGTTTTGCAATGTTTTTTTTAATGTATGTATGCTTCTAGTTCTACCATCTGACAAATACAAAAACTTTGTATTAAAATTAAAACTGTAGAAGTATGTGAAAAGGGAATTTAGAAAGCCAATTTTTCTTCTAAACTTTTTACTCCCTGATTTCTGCTTTTAGACAGGTCACTTCAGCTTCATTTTCTGAAATGTTTTCAATTATAGTTCAAATATTATTATGAATCAGACGTTGGTAATTAGGACCTCATTTGTTTCTAATAAGCCACCTGAGTCGTATATGTAAACGGAAAATGACCCTTAAAGCGAAATTCACTATTGACACTATTTTTTGTTGAGTGAAAGAAATTCATCAACCGTTAACCAAATTAGGGTTTACAGTTTCGCTTTTTGACCATATATCAAACAACTATAAGTTTTTGACTATTTATCTCATCCAATAAAATATCTAAAACGAAAAAGAATAGTATGGGGGAAAAAAGAAAGAAGCAAAAACTAAATGCTAAACCACGGGAGGGAAGACAAAATTAAGCTCTGGACACGACAAAAAACACAGAACTATCCAGTACATGCACTCTTGGAACCAAACAATCACATTAATTAGGTGCATGATGCAATTATTTGATCCATACAAATTAATAAATTTTTTTCTTTACCATATGATAAAAAAGAGTGAAAAGTAACCTTAAAAAACCCTGAAAAAGTGGAAAAAGATAGATAACATAGGAGATACAGTAGATAGTAGTAGAACAGAAGAAAAGAAGCAGACAAAGGAGTAAACCAGTGGTTCTATAAATGCAAGCAAGCAAAAAAAAAAAAAAACTGTGGTGGTAGATTCTGCAAATGGCTTTATTAATGGAAGGCAGAAGACTTCCAGTCTTCTTTCCTCCCCCATACAGCTGCAAAGCTCAGCTACTATACTATACTGAACCTATTAAGCCTATATGTATAGAGGTATAGGTTTATAGGGTTAGGGGGGAGGGGAAGTGATTATAGTTAGTATTAAAGCAGGAAGGAATTTTTTTAAAAAAAAATGGAGAGTTTTTTTTTGGTTTGGGTGGGGGCAATGCGTAATGCAATTTGCAATGGCCAAAAACCCCGACAAGCGTGGGGCTGTCTTGTCATGTCAAACACTTCAATTTTTTTTCTTAATTAGTAGGAGTTGGCTCAAGTGGTAAGGGCTTGGCACTTATCCGTGATGATACGGGTTCGAACTCACACGACAGTAATTTATCGCTAACCATGCTCTCTTGCAGGGTAAGAGACAATAGTCGTTCAATAGTAGACAAGTGGATTGGACATGCACGCATAAAGTCTTTCCAATAATAGTGCTATTCCCTTCCTCATAAACCCTACCCATATAATAGTCTAGACACTTGTAAATTGATTCTTATAAAAAATTGCTTTCTCTTCTCTTTCTGCTTCTTCTTTCTTTGGTTCAATTTTGAAAGGATTGAAATGAATAACCAGAAAAAAAAATTAAAAAGAAGAAAAAACAAAGGAAAATTGAGAAATTGGTACAATTTCGTTTTGATGGAGATATTTTACAATAGGGCTTTTCTTATAAATTTTTTTCCCGTTTTAAGACAAGATGATTGTCATTTTTACTACTTTGTTATACCATAATGATATTGTTTTAGCAACACTTTTCATGGATGATACTTTTCACGTATTACAGCCAGAGGCGACTTAATTGTACCATAAGTGGTAATCATACTTAAATTAATCTCTTTGCAAGAAAAGAGACGTGATCATAATCTATGTTACGTGCGTTAAGCATGAACACTTATCTCGTTAAGTATAATTAACATTATTGTTTCTTCCGTTTCTTACATTGATCCTTGCGTGGTAATAAAAGTAATTTTTTTTTTTTGAAAAAAATAAATTGAATTACCCTAAGATGAGAAGTAGCAGTTTTTTAGATTTTTTTAAAACCTTATGAATAGGGTTATGTTTTAATTTATTTCTATCTATAGATTATTTGTCTCTAAATTTATTTACTATGATCACATGCAGTTCACAATTAAAATCTAATACGCAGGTACTTATTTCCCAAAAAAAAAAAGCAATTAAAATCTAATTAAGAGAACAAACTGAAGGCGATGGGACGGATAGTCTTTTTTTTTTAAAAAAAAAAAAATATTATGAAAATAATACTCTCTCCGTCCCATAATTATTGTCCAATTTGAGTTTTCACTTTTAGTTCAAATTGTACTAAAAATAAAATCTCAAACTGGACAATAATTTTGGGACGGAGGGAGTAATTCATTTCTTGCATAAACGACCTTACCATGTAGATGAAATTATTACTTACTATAAGTATATTGTCTCATGGAATGCTAACTAAATTCTTATTGCAAAACATATTTGTATTATCATTTTAAATGAAAAGAGGAAAGAAAAAAAGAAAGCGAGAAAATCTCTAGCCAACCTTCCTGCAAGAGATCAAAGAACGAGCAACAAGTACTGCAAACTTTGTGCAATTTTAGGGTTTAGTTCGCCACTTCTCACAGAAAGCTAATCTTTGTTTTTTAACCCCGTTAGAAAAGAGTTGGCCAGAGTTTTGGATCCACAATAACAAATTAAATTTGCAGTCAATTTGATGTTAAAGATGTTTATAACTTACTACATTCAAATGTCTAGCAATGAAAGTGAGATTTTGATGAGCAAAAACTACCCACTTTGTTCCAAATAAAATAGTAATCATTTTACGATGAAAGAAGTATTAAGTACTGTTAAGAAATTTAATTACCACTAATATTTAGTAGTGTTCATAATAATATTGGAAAAGAAAGAAACAAAAAAATGATTGACTCGGAATCAATATATGAAATAGATGATTTTGGGGGTTGCTTCTTGGGCCTGTTATGGTACGTAGTAGTGCAACATTTATCTCTTTTTTCTTTTTTAATTTTGCTTTTCTCCTACGTACTCCCTTCGATTTTAATTGGGGAGCGTAAACTAACACTAAAAATTAATTTAAATTCGTATTTTATAATTAAGACGAAGGGATTACCATTCTTCTGTTTTTCTTTATGTTTTATCACCCAAGAATAAAAGGGGAACCCAAAAATTTTTCCATGAGAGTTTAATTTTTCTTTTAAGAATAAAGCTAGATTTTGAATCTGTATTTGCAAGAATATTGAACTCCATTCATCCCCAAAACAGAGTTTCTTTTCTTTTTATATTATTATACTTTTTTTTAAAAATATTATTATGCTAACATGGTTCAATAAATATGGGTGATATTTTAATTGGAGAGGGAAAAAAAAGTTAAGAGGTCGAAATGATCACATGAAAAATTATCCAACGGAAATATTTTCTTTACCCCATCTATTGAGTGTCTGACAGGTTTTGTCAAACCTTCCATTAAAAAACAAAATGTCAAGGATTTAGCCCAATATACTTTCTCTCTAGAAAAAAATATTCATTTCATAATTAATGTTTTACTACTACTTCCGTCCCACAAAAATAATACAAATTTGAGTTTTTAGTACAAATTTAAAAATTCAATTTAAACTATTTTTTTGGGACGGATGGAGTATAATATACCCAAACTCTGGTAAGTAGCAAAACAATAATGATGAAAGGATGGTAACTTTAACCGATTTTCCATCCCAAAAGTGTCCGTTTTATCAACATGCTCGATTTGGTTAAAGAAGACGAACCGAATGGGCTTCAAAATGTTGTTGATCTACAGAGGCCATTTATGTGACATCATGGACTTATTGCAGCCTTTGATGCATTTTCATTTTTCAGCTACAGATTTATACTTAAATGTTGTAGAAAATGTTGTAGATTTAACTAAATATATTGTAGTTTAACTAAATGCATTTTTATTTTTCATAACTAATAACTAAATGTTGTAGATTTATACAAGTATAGTGATTGGTCTCTGTCCTATACTATTTCTGTCCTAAAATAAGTATAAATAAATTCTAAAACTAAAAATTCAAAAATACAATCATTTTGGGACAAAGAAAGTACTATCAATTAAAAAAGAATAAGAAGTTCATCCTCAACGAGGTTGCAAGTTAGATACTCAATTCCTCGTATATATATCTTCGTTGTTAAGTGGAGTAAACAAAGCATAAACTACAGATTTACAAAATTAATCAACTAATCATCAACAGAACAGGTTCTACAACACATTTGCGTCAAACAGGGTGTAGCAGCTAAAACCTTTTTCTAGTGTAAGTTATACAGCATAAGAATCTGACAGATCCAGAAGCCACTAAAAACTTAGACGATAGCCCAAAACTTCTTCCGGCAAAATAGAACTGGCTCAGGTTTCTTTTCCGCGTCTTCTAGATGATGCAATTCTGCATCCCAAAGGAACTTCGGAGCAAGTTCCATTATTTTCGATATTGTTGGTTCATCATCTCTAATTATTATGAAACCCTGAAAGTCAAAAAACCAAAACAATTACAATGGTAAAACAGATAACAAAGTACTACGAAGAACTGCATGCATAGATGACACGTTATAGGCCAACTCAATGACAGGATACCCTGAGGTGATTTTCGTTGCCTGGTACATCAGAAGTCACAGCTGAAAAGTTTGTGAGCCCCCATGTCAAGCGGTTAAAAACTTTACGCAAGGAGGATCGCCAACAAGTCAGACAGCAGGTTCATTTAGGCAGGATGAGAGATTATAAAGCGGCTGGTCTATGGAATGCCAACATAATTCAAATCACTACCCAAAAGAATTGTTTAATATTCAACTACAAAAGCAATACCAGTCACGGTACAATTACAATAGATTATTGATATAGTCATTAACCTGTCAGAAGGACAGCACCCACAAGGATAAAGATCTTTGCAAATGCTTATTGTGTGGGACAATGGATTATCCAGAAATCACAAACATAATTCCAAGCCATGGTGTGATGCCTAGTGTTTTTATGTTGGCAATGCAAACAATGAATTCTGGTTTGGAGAGTTGGTAAATCTTCTCTATTAAGTCATTCAGAAGTCTGCAGATGTAATAGGGGAAGTCAAGTGTATAAACTAAATGACGTTACCTGGGGCCGTGCAATGCGATCCATCTCCAACATGACATCCTCAAGTAAGCAGCCTTCTCCATGACTATTATAGCGAGACAAAAGATGACTAGCATGTACTAGGTCATAAGTCCGTGGATATGTTGAGAATGGCTCACACCTGTCATGTTCAAGAAATGATGAATCATTATTGGAGTTAACTTTAAGACTTCATGTTTGTTTTTACAGTCTGTAATCATCATACCAATCATGGAAAGCTCCAACCAGACCACGGTGATAGATAGCAGGCAAGGTGTTTTTCATGCTTACAGGAACTATGTTCATAACCCAAACAGGCCATGTATTCAAGGCAACTGCAAATCCACCAAGAAAAGCATTCATGTCCATGACATTGCGCACTTCCTTCTCTTCCACATTCATCAATCTCCAATAATGACGGACTTGGTCTTGCCAATACAGAGTATCGTGCAATAACATTTGCTGATTGATACCTTCAAATAATACATTGCAAAAATGATTTTTGAGCAGTAAATTAAGGCAGAATAAATAGTTTTACGGTGTCATGGATCACAGGTGTGCAAGAAACAACGCCATAAACTGCAAGCCACAAATTCAACCATGGTGATCTTACCAACTAAAGGGAATTTGTTAGTGCCCATTACTGCAATCAATAACAAACGATCATGCGATAGAATAAGTAGAATCCAGGGGAAAAGATCCACCACAGAGTTAAGGCTATAATTTCCTTTCCCATCTTCGAACAACAATAACTCTCTACATCAACTATAGATAAGCCCAATTGAATAGAAAACTTAACTCTAGCCATGGTTAAAGAAAGCTTGAAAGCATCATCACAGATATATCTAGAATTCGTTGTTGCTTGTGCATTTACACCTTTTTACTTCCACATAGGAATACATTTTCCCCATCCACATACGAGGGAAGCAATGTTCTCCAGCAAAATATTTTCCATCCATTAGATATTGAATCCTTATGGATTTCACAGACAAATCATGACTGGTGGTGTTCAGGAGAATACTGATTTAGAAAATTATCACCAATACAGACATTAATGTTCAAATATTCACACACACACACACACACACACACACACACACACAAAAGTCTTGCTAGCAAGCAAGAAAAAAACAGAAATTCAACATTACATATATAAACCAAAGAGATAGGCGTACACTTTGCTAAGATATAAAGAGCTCTTTTTTTTCTTTTAAATATAAAGAGCTCACATACATCATCTTATTTTTTACAACATGAAAGCATCTTTTGTCCTTGGTGTTCTAAATGCACACAATAAATAATTTATCAATAAAGTTTGTCAAACAACCGAGAAACCTGTGATCATAAAGTTTCAAAAGAGTTCAATAAGAGCTCAAAAGAAAATGCAAAAAGAAGATCAGGGAGTGTGTGCGTGAATTTGATAGAGAAGAGACATTAAGGTGAATTAAGAATGAAAAGCAGAGAGGATGAGGGGCACACACATATCATGCTAGTTGATAAGCGTAAATGTAATGCAAACATAATTTTGAAACTCGGAGTACTGATGGTGATCAAGCAAGATGGCAAAAAATGACCATACAGTTAACCTCAAATAGAGAGATAAAAGCTTTGTTGCTTAGTAGTTATTGATGCTGCAATGTTCAAGCAGCATTAATTTTCATGTTCCAGAACAAAGAAAATAAAGACTAGTGAATTTCATAGAGCAGAGACATTAAGATGATTAAGGATGAAAAGCAGAGAGGGTACAAATCATACTAGTCGATAAGGAAAAAGGCATCAACAAACCTAAAGTTTTGAGACTCTCAGAATACACCGATAGACGCTGTGGCCGGGGAGGGAGTTTCTGAGAGTTGATTGCATTACTTAGGCGTACACAGTTCCTCAGGGGTGTATTCCAGGATGGTTTAAGAGTATCATCATTATCACAGATTTCCACAAGGTTCATCTCTGCATTTCGCTGGAGGCATGAATCATCATCGAGCTTCATCCAGATTGCCGTCTGTACTTTCCTAGCAATGAGTTTCCAACACATAGCAGAAGTAAGATTCACCAACTTATCCCAAGTCTGCGGAAAATCTTTATCCTTCCTATATGCTGGAGGAGCTGAATAGACAAAATATCCATTTGATCTTAACAGCCGATTAACTTCTTTGATCAGAATACCATCTGCACATCCAGCAAACAAAGTGCTCTCAGTATAAGGAAACATGAATAGTTTCAGAACAGAAAATATTGTGCAGTGTTCAAAATTAAATATCTTATCAGCCATGAGCATATTTGGTAAAATTTGAAATTATTGCTCTAGGCACAGAGGCAAAACATGACTTGCAAATTTATTACTTTCAAACAGTGTTGTCCATGGAATGATTTGCAAAATGACCTCAAATGGAGAAAGAAAAACCCCAGGCACATAAAAACTACAAACAGTTTTCTGTACTGCATCTGCATACTGCAGGGGAGACTTCGCATCACCATCGCATTAAGTAAAGAGTACACTAAAAATTGGAAAGAGTAATCTTAATAACAATGGCTATTAGTGATCAGTCCTAAGAGAGCATCGATGGCATTGCAAACACTTCACTAAAGGTAAACATTCTTCCCGTTTCACATCTTTATGATGTTCTATTCCATTCAAGATTTACCATTCTCATGAAAATCAACGCGGCATCTAGAACAGTGAACCATTTCAAAAGAGCTAGCTGGATATGGTAGCTGTTTTGTAGATAGAGCAGATATCATTGCACCAATCCCGCGTTCCAGCGCAAACTGGATCTGATTCTCATGACCATCTTTGGGAGCAAAGGACATTGTTTGTATATCTAAAGGCAGAAGAAACGCAGAAAAGCTAGCCACTCCACAACCAATATCCAGTACCTGGTATACTCCTGCAGAACGCAGGTCTCCTGTGTCATTAGTCGTCATATTCCCTAACCTGCAGTAAACAACATAAGGAAACGGAGTTCTAATTTTTACAGAGGAGATGAAGGCAATCACTCAGATTTACTGAAATGCTTTATTTCTACAATAAATATCAGTATTACATGTAATCAAATAATTATGACAAGAGATGCAATGACAGTAAAGAGAGGTATCATGCTCTAAGCTCTTCCAGGTAGATCGAAAAATAACTAACTGCAGACTTGTTTACCTCTTCAATAAAATAGGGTACCAGTAGTCCCTAAACAATGATTCCTATGTCACATGTACTTTAGGATGCCTCAAATCCTCTTCAAATAAATTTAAACTTAAAGTTACTATGTTTTTCCTGCATTCCATCTACATAAACATGGCTTAAGCACTCCCTGTATTAGTATATCCACAATTTAAAAGAACTTCATGCTCATTCATCATATTACTTGATCCTTCAGATAATTCTATTCCTTAAGGCTTAAGATAGTTTTGTGAACTCCTGCTCGTGTTGGTGAAGAAAGAGGACTTTTCTGCTAAGAGTAATTTTTCCATCTTGACAACAGTTTCTCTGGAAACAGCCATAATTCTAAAATACAACCTTTAGTCACTTTCCCTCAAGGTGTATCTTATAGATGACATATGCATATTGGTTGAAACGGATATAACGTTAACATACAATTTCAATATGGCTATGAGTTCGAGGCAGACTTTTGGTATTAAAGAATGCACATATGTCCAGAGTAAAAAGAAATTCAACATGAAAAAACAGAATTTCTCTTACCTCTGTATGTACTCAGGAGCCCCGTGCTTAAAGTGAGTACCACCACCAGGAAACCACCAGAGTTGGCCCTTTGGATGGACCCAGTTTTGCCCTCCTTTAACCTCAGCAAGGTGGGTATGATTCACGTTACTTCGCCAAACATAGTCCCTACTGATTGGCCACCTTATAGGTAGTTTATAATTGGCTGGAGGAGGAACCAAACAGAAAAAGCGTCTGCTAGGGGGAGGACAATGCCTCTCCAGCTCCTCTTTTCTGGACAAGTCTAATTTTGGCAAAAGCTCATTAATGTAGGTTGGATTATGGCAGGGAATGTGTTCATTGAATGTCAATGGGCAAACGTTGATCCCAGTTTCTGGAATGTTAAGCGGTTCAGTACGGTATGAAAGGGTTACTCTATTTGTAAATTCTGGGCTTCCTGCAAGCAGAAAGATGTGCATCAGAAGAATTCATCTATAAGAGTTGTATCACTAAACAATACATTGAATTAACTTCACTTAAAAGTAATTCTAGCACTTCTCTCAAAATCTATCCTTCATCTCACAATACAATAATGCAGTACTTTAAATTAGTTAGAACACATTTGTCCATGAACAAAGAACAAGACCTCAAACACAATCAGACATACACCTTACTTCTGAGACTCCACATGAAATGTCTTCAGAAAACGTATAACAACTAGACTACTAGAGTATATTGAAGATACGGCACTGACTGTTTTTTACAGCGCCTGAATTAGTCACATAAATAATCTACTTAATCGAAGCTGTACCAACACCGCCCCTGTTACAAATGCCAACCAGATGATTGGAATAGAGGGATCATATAGCCAGAGAAAAGTTTGCTTGCATAAAGCCAATGGAGGTTATACACAGAACAACCACATTGAATGCAAATTCTCATATTTTCATAATGCTCGATTCAAAAGTTGATCTTTTCTCACCAGAAATTAAACTCAACTACCCATTAGTCTAGTGATGGATAATTTCCATAAAAATGCCTCAGTCACTCGGAACTATCTAAAGCCACAAAACTAGTAAACGAGCTGAATTATCCATTAACTGAGGAATTAAAAGAAAAAAGAAATTCTATAAATTCAATATCTTATCTGAGAATCAGCCAAAAATCTAGGCAACAGAATGAAACATAAACAACTACCAGGTAACTATAAAGTACAATAATTCAGCACAAGATGATTATGATCAGCAATACAACTCATTTAAGATTGAAATTCTATGAGTACTATTTACTGAAAAAGAAAGCGAAGTTTGAAGTGCTAAAGAAAACTAACTGACCTGGAGATGATAAAGATGACACATTGGAAGAGTAAAGGTGCTGCTCAAGTGGGTCATTGCTAATGCTTACATCAATGCCGGAACCGGAGCTTCTCCGGCCAAACAAGGAGCCAGTGTAGAAAGTACCCATCATCACTAACAGCGTTAACATAATCATTTGCCCTGTCTTCCAATCAAACGCCCTCATGTTCAATGGTATATACCCCTGATGATCCCCCATTTGTTTCGAACTGGGTTCGGAATCAGATCGCCCAAGATTCAAGAAAACATTTGGATCGAGATGATGAATTTCTTTTTCTTTTGGAAACCTTGCAGTGAGTCTCGGTTTCCAATTTTTTTTTTTTAACTGGTCGGGCGAACTACATCTTGCCCCTCAAGGTTTGGCCTAGTAGAAGAATCGACCCCCTGACTTACCACCAATTGTTGGCATTAGCCCCTTTTTTTTCGAATTTTTTCCTTAAATATATGTAAAAAAACAAACCTAGACAAAAGTAAAGCTCTTTAAAACTTTGTGGACAAATTTATATGCCCCGGATTTAGGAAATCCGAATAGGGGAAAAACTCGGATTTAGGAAATCCGAACCCAACTAAACTCGGATTATTAAAATCCGACTTTGTATTACGTAAATCTGAAATTAAGTTAATGAAAAAAATTAGTGTAATTAATCTAAATTCGGATTTTATAAATCCGATTTTATGAATAAAATATTAATTTCGGATACTATAAAAAATGTTTTGAAAAATTAAATTGGGCGTAACTCGGACAGAAATCCGAATCGCTCTGTTTTCGAAAAATGGTGACTCCCAGTTGGCCACGGACTCGGATTTCAAATCCGAATCCTTTAGAAAAGTCCGGGTTCGGATTTCGCAAATCCGAGTCTTTGTCGAACGAAAAAAATTGGGTGATTTTCACCATCCTAAACATGTTTACAAGACCAACAACAATGAAACATTGGAAAATAGGAATTTAATAACAACAAAACAATAAACGGTATTCAATTAACAACAAAATAAATCAAGTTTCATAAAAAGTTCAATACAAAAACTACAATAAATGTCCAAAATAATGAAATGTCTCATTTTTTCCTTTTCCTTTATTGTGCGCATCCGAGTGTATTTGTTTGGGCCACGTCGGATCCTGTCTCCCCTCTTAAGATATGTGAGTATTGAACTTTGGTGTGGTTGCGATGTCCACCAAACCGAGACTCGATTTGGGGTTGAGATTGGGACTCCCCATGGTGATAAATTTGATTCCGGTTGTGGTTGCGATCGTCCACCAAACCGAGTCTCAGTCCACCAATGTCAAACCGAGTCTCGGGTCCACCAATGTCAAACCGAGTCTCGGGTCCACCAGCTTCTTCAAAATGAGTCTCGACTGGATGCGCGAGCCTCGAGAGGAATGTGCTTGATCCTCATTTTGTTGACCCTCGGTTTCTTTGTTGCGATGTCCGAGGGGATTGTGACCTTTCTCTTTCTTCCTCCTCCAATCTTATCTCTTGACCACGGTTTCGCTTTTTACCCGGCGGAGGTTGTGAGGGAAAAATGGATCTTCATCAACCAGGATTTGGGTATCATCCACCTCCATCTCATCATTTGCGCCAAGGTTAAAGCAAGATGTGTTTGATTGATGATATCGTCCAAATGCTTGTCAAGTTCTTCGTCTAGGAGATTATCATCTTCTCGTTTTCTCTAAACCTCTCGGTACTCACGCGAATGTTGTTCAATACTTCACCCCGAAAAGAAATTAGGACGTTAATTAAGAGAGTAAAGTTCTAAAAAAAAATACAAAAAAATGGAAACATAAGAAATAATAAAAGAAATCTACAATTAACTCACATATAATTTCACGCGGCTCGAAGAAGTCTCGTATCCTTGAGGTTCATAATTACCGGATTGGATATCAATCGACGGTGTTCACCATAAACCATTCATAGTACCCTCATATACGGAACCGGGATCTCCTTCCTCCAAATCTCGTAGCACGAACTCTTCTCTCCTATTCCAATGACGGCGCATCATGGAATGGTGATCCTCCCAATTATTGCTAGGATACCCGGACATACCGTGGGCGTGATCGAGAAGAAATGCTGCGTTATCTTTAATCATGGGGCGCTTGGGAACATCTTGTATGTATCCAAATTGTCTTACGACTCGCCCGACTCGTGGGGTTCCCTAATAGCCCAACGTAACATCCAACACCTAGTCGTCCAAATGGCTTGGCCTTGTGTACGAAATCGGGAGTCTATGGAGGACATGTGCATATGGTTGCCACCGAAACGCACGAAAAAATTTCATTAGATGGTACAACCGAAACCAAAAGAAAGGGGTAATTGATCTCAAAGTAAATATAAATACCAAATTACAAGTACTTACATCTTCAACACGCAGACTTGTTAATTGATCTCTAAACGGTGGAGTGCTGCTCCTGGGGCGTCGCCGTACGTGTACCTACATTCCCACCTTAATAAACAAAGGGGTACATTTGAATTAGTGAAATAAATGAATAAGAAACAAATAGAATTAAACGTTGAGTTATTTTGAACTGAAAATACGTATCACTGAGCTAATGGAGCGGTCTAATCAAGCAAATAATCTACTCCTTTTCTTTGGGGCGCGATCCTCTCGATCCGCTCATACGCCCATACCTAGTAAATTGCAATAATAATGTAGAAATTTCAAATTATAACGTCGAAAGCGCAAAATAATTAAAGCACAATATGAAAACTAATACGTACCTGTAGCAAATATAGACACCCAGTGGCGTCGTGCATGGTATACTGTGATGCCTCGCATAGGCCAGAGTACAACCTAGCCAGCAGTGCCGATCCCCAACTGTATCGACTACACTGATCCAAATCCTCAACCTGGGCCAAGAACTGTAGATTGACAGTGTTCTGCGTCTTGTTCGGAAACATGAAACTGCTAATAAAATGCAGTATAAATGTCCTGGCCCTTTGCTCGAATCGATGGACAGTGGAATTTGAAGGTAGTGCACGGCCCATCTCATCTTCGAAAATACCAACATTGACACATTGGCCATTTACAATCGCCGCCGGAATCCCAAATAAGCCTCACATCGATCCCTCCATTCATCTGCAGTCCGCTAACTGCCGTGCCGTACACCGGTCACCATCCACCCGAATACCAAACAGGACCTCGACGTCCCGTAGCGCCACCGTCGCCTCTCCGAAATTAAAATGGAAAGTGTGGGTTTCGGCCTCCACCGTTCCACCAACGCGGTAATGAGGCCTAGATCAACTCTTTGTACCCTACCTTCATGATCCCCTCAAACCGGCTCTCCTAATGACTTCCTTAACCTCCGGGCCGTATTTTTATATAACGCCCAAAAATCGCTGTCGTACCTACGGCCCTTGAGGCGGAATGTCTTAATGTCCGGTATCCTGTTCTCATAGACAGCTTGGGACCTATGCTTTGTTTGACGATATAGCATTTTATCCGAAATAGGTCCCGGGTGAAGATGTTTAGGTTGATAGTCATATTGGGAGCCCGATGCCGGCGTCGCCATTTCAATCCTACACAAGGTAACCAAAAAAAAAACAAATCAACCAAACCATAAACATTCGGCCAAATAAACAAGACTACCAAACCATATACATTTGGCCAAATAACAAAACTACGAAACGATGTACACTCGGCCAAAAAAAACAAATCAACCAAACGATAATTATTCGGCCAAATAAACAAGACTACCAAACTATATACATTCGGCCAAATAACAAATCAACCAAACGATAATTATTCGGCCAAATAAACAAGACTACCAAACTATAACCATTCGGCCAAATAACAAATCAACCAAACTTCAAATTATTCGGCCAAATAAACAAGACTACCAAACTATATACATTCGGCCAAATAACAAATCAACCAAACGATAATTATTCGGCCAAATAAACAAGACTACCAAACTATATACATTCGGCCAAATAACAAATCAACCAAACGATAATTATTCGGCCAAATAAACAAGACTACCAAACTATAAGCAATTCACAATAGACACAATTTAAATTCAACACAAACACTATATCAACACAAACCAACCACAATTCAAAAAAAAAAAGGACTCGGATTTCACAAAGAAAAAAAAAAATTTTGACAAAAAAAAAATAAAGAGAGGATCGCGAATTTCAAACTTACAGTGAGGAATGGAGGAAGTCGGGAGGAGTGGAGGAAGTCGCCGGAGGTGGAGAGTCTCGGAGGGAGTCGCCGGAATGCAAGGAGTCGCCGGAGGTGGAGAGTATTTGAGGAGAGACGCCGGATTGTCCAGAGGGAGGAGAGTCGCCGGAAATGGAGTCGCCGGAGAGTGGTGGGAGTCGCCGGAAATCACGGAGGGAGTGGAGGGAGTCGCCGGATTGAGTGGTGGGAGTAGCCGGATTTTTGTTTAATTGGAGTTTAGTTTTAGGGTTTTTTAATTTTGGAATTGGGGGAAAAATGGGAAGGGAAGAGTTGACAGAAAAATATATAGTCCCGTCAAATTCGGATTTGCTAAATCCGAGTCTTCCCTATTTCCCTCAAATTTCAACTCTCGGATGGTTTCACAAACACGGATTTCTGAAATCCGAGTCCTTTGCAAATTAAAAATAAACTCTGAGTTCGGATTCGCGAAATCCGAGTTAGTACTGTTTCTTCTCAAATTTCAACGCTCGGATGCTATTCACAAACACGGATTTCCTAAATCCGAGTACTTAGTAAATTCGAGAAAGTCTCTGAGCTCGGATTTAGGAAATCCGAATCTCCCCTGTTTCTCCTCAAATTGCAACTCTCGGATGCTTTTCATAAACACGGATTTCCTAAATCCGAGTTCTTAGTAAATTCGAGAAAGTCTCTGAGCTCGGATTTAGGAAATCCGAATCTCCCCTGTTTCTCCTCAAATTGCAACTCTCGGATGCTTTTCACCCATTCGGATTTCTGAAATCCGAGTCCTTTGCAATTTCAAAAAAAAACTCTGAGCTCGGATTTCGGAAATCCGAATGCTTCACAAAACCTTACAATGATGAGTATTTTGCACAATCCGATTTTGATTATGAAAAATAGTACATATTTCATCACACTTTACAATCCGATAAATTCAATGTTCACATTACAATCCGAATTTATCAATGTTCACATAAATTTATCAAACACTACATAACTTGCAAGAACAGTAAATTACACTCAATTCCAATTTGTCATTCACGTGTCTTCTATCTACTCCCTGGTGCGAACGGACATGAATTGGCATCATGACCTAGTTGTCCACATCTCCAACATTCCCCCGGCTCCGGCGTCCCCGTAATCCATTTGCATTCTATGTCTCCTTTTTGTCTTCGTCCGGTCCCGCATGCAACACAAGACGCTCATAATTCGAATGATGTTCCATTGACCATCGGCCATTGTTCCTCATC